AGTTCTTCCTGTGTCATATTGGACTCCATATTTGGCTTAAAGGTCCAAAAAAACCAGACTTATCCATGTTCATATACAAATACTAGACCAAAACATATTCCAAAACCAATATAGAGAACTAATACAGAGATTACATCGGTATCCTCTCCCGTCCATCAGTATGACTAAGGACTACTATAGTAAGGGGTCCAAATTCTATTCTGGAAATTAAGATTCCCACAAAAATTAATGAAAATTGGGTAATTTTTTTGTTTGAAATTATCCCAGCAATTATGCATTCATTTCGTACCTCTCCTCTATTTACTTATATATAAATATATCCTATTACCCCTAAAAAAATATCTGTTCCTTGAGAACAGGGGCTATATCACTTTTGTACTTGTATCCCCAACACCAAACAAAGAGCCTGACACGTAATGGATATTTTAAAAAATGCCTCTTGATTGATTACGTGAAATTTGTAACTAAACTAGGCTGACCTCAAGGCATAATACTGTTTAAAGGAATGGAATCAAGTTCAAAAACAAAAGCCTTTCCAGAAAAAAAAAAAACATGAGGGACAGATGTTCGTATCCCATTAACCTAAGGCAGAAAATAATTTTAAAATTTATATTTTGCTTTGTACTATATCATTTTAATCATCAGATCATCTAATATGTTTTACCTAGCCCAACATAAAAGTTATCTTATAATAATTAAATGCAAAGCAACTGATGAAGGTGGAAAATGATGTAGAAGCTTACTACCCGGGAAGAGGCAGAGATACTCTAGGCTTAAATATCTATCTTGATAGATCTTGAAAATTTCACACCAACATGATTGAGAGCTCACTATTATTAAATCAGACTTTCTTTTGGAAGTGGATTGCTCTTGGTATGCAAAATGTTAAAAATTCACAATAGCTACTTTCTAACATCTTAACTTAGCACCCTAACAGTAGTACTTGGGGGGAATGGGTTTGCTTTGTTTCAAAATCGTTTAATTAAAATTGCAAAATAACAAAACTATGCTTATTTCATCATGATGTACGATTGTAAAGACTGATGTACAATTTTAAGCTTTGTAAAACAACTTGTCATAATCTGACTCAAATACTGCCTGATTAGATTTCAAACTATTTACAGTTATTATACCGAAGGAAATCTACATGTCTAACTGATAAAAGAAGTTCTCAAAGTAAGTATCATAATCAGCTGTACAAAGTAGATCCAATGATTTAGAACATAAAAAGTTGTAGAGAAACAAAACTATGTATTTCACATGAATGACCCAGAGGAAATATGTAAGCAAACACAATGTAGTCAAAACCGGAAGTCAACAGGCCTGAGTTCTTGTCCTAACTGCTACTACATACCATGTCACTCAACTTTTCTGGGGTTCGGTTTTTCCAAATAAAAATTCACAGCGCTGGAATCTAATGGGATCTTTGAGGTCCCTTCCAGTTCTTCTATCATTTATAATTCTCCATTCTCTACTAATGAAAATGGTATGATTAATATTAAATATATATTAGATGATATGAAAACAAGTAACGAAAATATTCAGAGGGGCTCATGGGCCCATACAATCACTACTAAAATGTATTGAGTGGATCTATATTTTACTTTGAAAGTCTATGTCTTTAGGGTTTATTTTACATTTACTTCCAGGAACACTACTTATGAAATTAATTCACAGAATCTTTTTCTATTTATGAACATGTGAGAAGAAGATCTTCCTTTCATTTTAGATGCTATACATGTTAAACCCATAATCTACGTATGGCAACAGAAAAATGTCCCCAGGTTAAGGTACTCCTAAAGACTTCTATAAAAGTTATTTCATTAAATAGACACAGTTCACTAGTGAAAGCTGATTTAAGGCACAACATCATAAGTATCCAAACACCTCAGCAGACATTTTTTTTTCTTCCAGATACAGCAACAAGTAGAAATTTCAGTTTACAAAACCACATATGACTGACTCTTGCCACTTTCCTTAAGAACCATGCTGATAAGATGGAAGGCACTTCTAATGAAAGAATCTTTAGAGACAAATGTTTCAAAAACAGAAACAAAACATTGCCTGAGAAGGATTTCGTTGTGAAATTCACTCTTAATATGCCCACTCACTTTAGAAGTCTAATGGGGCTCTGTCCTAGGCACTCTTCTCTTCTCCTTCCGTACTACTTCAGCTGGTGATCACATCTGCTGTTACAGATTCAATTCTCATATCTACGTTGATAACTCTCAAAACTAATTACCCATTTCTAACCTCTCAGCTGACCCCCAGTTTCATATCTCTAACTGCCTATTAGACATCTCAAAGTGGATGTCCTGTAGACATCTCAAACTCAACAAGTCCAAAACTGAACTCAATGTCTTTTTCCCAAAACTTGGCCTTCTTCCAAATTTTCCTATTACTGTAGAGGACACCACCATCATTCCAGTCTCCCAGGTTTGCAACCCCGGTTTATCCCAGACTCCTCACTCTCTCTCACTCCATTTCCAATCTGTTGATAAAGCAGGTCAATTTTACCTTTATAATATCTCTTGTATATGCCCCATTTCTCTCCTCTGACCCTGGCACCACCTGATGCAAGTCCTCATCATCTCACACCTGGACTAAAGCCTGTTGGTTGCTCTTCTATCACCAGTCTTTTCCAACTCCAGTCCATTCAACTGTCAAAGTGATATTCCTAAAGTGCGTCTCTTTTTTAAAAAATAAATGTATTTATTTTTAGTTTTCAACATTCACTTTCATAAGATTTTGAGTTCCAAATTTTCTCCCCACCTCTCCCCTTCCTCCACCCCAAGATGGCATGCAATTTGATATAGGCTCAACATATACATTCATATTAAACCTATTTTCACGTTAGTCATGTAAAGAAGAATTAGAACCAACTGGAGAAATCACAAGAAAGAAGAAACAAAAAAGAGAGTGAGAGAGAGAGAGAAGAGAGAGAGAGAGAGAGAGAGAGAGAGAGAGAGAGCGCAAGCAAATAATATATTTCAATCTGCATTCAGACTCCATAATTCTTTTTTTGGACATGGATAGCATTTTCCAACATGAGTCTTTTGGAGCTGTCTTAGATCCTTGCATTGCTAAGAAGAGATAAGTCTATCAAAGTCTATCAAAGTCACATCACATAACGTGACTGTTAATGTGTACAATGTTCTTCTGGCTGTGCTCACTTCACTTAGTATCAGTTCATATAAGTCTTTCCAGGTTTTTTCTGAAATCTGCCTGCTCATCATTTCTTTTAGCACAATAGTATTCCATTGCATTCATATACCACAACTTATCTGGCCATTCCCCAAATGATCAGAATCCCCTCAATTTCCAATTCTTGGCCACCACAAAAAGAGCCACTATAAATATTTTTGTACATGCGGGTCCTTTTCCCGTTTGCATGATCTCGTTGGAATACAGACCTAGAAGTGGTTTTGCTGGGTCAAAGAGTATGCAGTTTTACAGCCTTTTGTGCATAGTTCCAAACTGCTCTCCAGAATGGCTGGATCAGTTCACAATTCCACCAGTGCATTAGTGTTCTAATTTTCCCACATCTTCTCTAGCATTTATCATTTTCCTGTTTTGTCAAGTTAGCCAATCTGATAGGTGTGATGTGGTACCTCAGAGTTGCTAAAGTGCAATTCTAATCACATCACAATCCCCTACTCAATAAACTCCAGTGGCTTCCCATCACCTCCAAGATCAAATATAAAATCTTCTGTTTGATGTTCAGAGACTTTCATAACCTAGCCTCTCCTCCACAATTCCAGTTAAAACAAACTGTACACCCCCTACCCCCAACATATTCTTCAATTCCTTGACACTAGCCTTCTTGCTGTTCCCCAACCAAGATGCTCCACCTCCCAAATCCCGGCATTTTTACTGTCTCCCATAACTAGAATTCCCATCTTCATCACTGCCTTTTGGCTTCCCTAGCCTACTTCAAGTCTCAGCTAAAGCCTCATCTTCTATAAGGAGGTCTTTACTGATCCCCCTTAAATCTAGTACCTTCCTCTATTGAGTACCTCCAATTTATACTTTCCATATCTTGTCTGTATATAGTTGTTTGCAAGTTGTCTCACCCAGTAGACTCTGAATCCCTGAGTGCAGGGATTGTCTTTTGCCATTCTTTACATCCCCAGCACTTAGCACAGGACGTGGTACATAACAGGTGCTTAATCATTTTCTACTGACTAACTGATTGACTGGTAAAGCCCAAGTTTGCTGATATTCAGAGTTCAGTAAAAACGCCCTCAGTTTAAGCTGGTATCTATCTGAGGAACCTAAATACTCAGAAATAAGAAGGGACTTTTCACCTGGAAGTCACATAAGACCCACTCTTTAGTGAACAATTCAGGTTTCAGAAATGAGTAGCTGTCCATGCAGTTATCTGAATATAAACACTAAACTTTGTTTTGAAAGACAAATTTGATTTTTATTACAATAATAGTAATGTCTAGCATTTACACAGTACATTAAAGTTCACAGAATGCTTTGTATTTGTTAACACATTTGATCTCCACAATAACACTGGAAAGTAGGTGCTATTATTATCTCTCTTTTACAAATGAAAACAACTGAGGCTGGGAGAGGACAGGCGAGTTAGCCAGGATCACACAGCTAGAAGTGTCTAAGGCAGGTTTAGAGTTCTAGTCTTTCTGATTCCAGGTCTGGCGTTCTATCCACTGTACCACTTACCAGCCCCTATTAGGTATCTAAATGCACAAAAGAGGCAAATTTATTTGTGAATGGTCTTCTTGAAACACTGTATTAACTATAGGTAAATAACCTATTTGTTACTTTGACAGATTTAGCTAGAATCTAAATAATTTAGAACAAAAAAATTATACTTATTTTGAGTACTTTATATTCAGTCAGCCTCAGACTGAATATATATTATATAGCTACAAAGAAAGCTTTCCAAAAGAATATTCTTATATCTAGAGAAAACACCAGAAAAGAGGATGTACATTTATCTCAGTATTCAATAAGTCTTAGCAAGGACTTACTTGCTACTCCTGATGCAAGGCCATAAAGCAATCCTCCACCATCTGATTGCTGCTCAAAGATGTGGGTCCCAGGGGGAGGTCTCTTTTCTTGTCTGATGAAGTTATACAATAAGGTCTTTACAAGTCTGCTGGTATAGGGAAGACTGTAAAAAAAGAACATTTCAACATTTATCCAATTCGGACGGTTTGTGATAATGAAATAGAGATGAATAACTTAATGTCATTAACAATCACACAATATAAAGGGTTGGTGCATATTGTTTTAAAGCCCACCTGAGTGACCCACCTAAGCAGAAATGCTGAGCCCAAGAACAAACACTGTGAGGAGTCCACAAGAAAAGAATGGAGGACCAGGTAATTGTCTTGGCCATATGTATTTTTTGTGTATGCCTTGCTACTACTGTACTCTTAAGTTTGCCAACTTTTCCCATTGACCTAGTGTGTATTTGTGAAAGAGTATACCCTAGGATTACAGGGAGGGGAGGAAGGATATTTTGTAACCACTCATTTTACTCTGCCATATCAGTGAATTAGCTGAACTGTGTTTACTATCTATTGAAAGGCAAGCTCACCAGTGGGGACTTATGAGCAATAGTTTTAAGTGGACACCCAAGTACCGTAAAACCTTGATATAATAGTTGCCCTCAAAGGGACCCAACCCATGAGTGACAGTTGTCATGTAACTCTTAGAGGGATGTTACATTCACTTTTAGGGAGTGAAAATAAAAAAGTATAATAAAAATACCCCCAAACTGATATTCAACTAACTCCTGCAAGCCAGGCATAGTTTCTGGAATTCTAGGAGTCCAAAAGGATTTTTTCAAATATAGGATCAAAGTATAGACCCCCAAATTAGTTAATTATAAAAAGAGGCATGGCTCACATATCCTTAAACAATGAGATTGTAAAATGAGTTGACAAAGGAAGAAAACTCACTAAATACAAGAAATAGATAATAAAGTGAATCTCAACATTTCAGAAGGCAATGATAATAGAATTTTAAAACTCCTTAAAGCTAGGCTCAAAATCAATTATGAAAAACATGAAGTCCATCTAAGTGTCTTCTATCAAATCTGAAACTATATCTTCCTATCCTCTACTTGTGAAAAGTATACAAGGAATGAGATGCTACTATTTTTTTAATAACATGTTAGAGTTTATATCTATTATATAATGGAAAATCTTATTAATATCTAAGCTAAATTCCCCAAACTACAACTTAAATTTATGTATTTCTGTCTCATATTTGGTGAAAATGAAGAATCAGCTGCTAATATTAATCAATTAATGAATTCACATTTATTTATTAGATGCCTGATATTCCAGGTCAGGCAACTAGGCTCAGCAGATAGAGTGCTGGGCCTGAAGTCAGGAAGACCTGAATTCAAATCCAGCCTCAGACACTCACTAGCTGTGTGACCTTGGACAAGTCACTTAACCTCTGTTTGCCTAGGAAGCAGCTGGGTGGCTCCGTGGATACAGCACTGAGCCTGGAGTCAGGAAGAACTGAATTCAAATCTGGCCTCAGACTCTTACTAGCTGTGTGACCCTGGGCAAGTCACTTAATCGACTGTATGCCTTAGTCGACTGTAGAAAGAAATGGCAAACCACTCCAATATCTTTGCCAAGAAAACTCCATGAACAGTATAATCCAAGGGATCATAAAGACCGAATAAATTGACATTACTGAATGATTAAACAACAACAATGTGCCAGGTAATGTGCAAGGTGATGGGGAAAAAATTTAAAGAGTCCCTGTCATCCAAGACTTTACCCTCTACTAAGGAAGACATATATACAAATACAGTACTCTATAAATAAAATATACAAAAAGTGAATTCCAAGTATAATGGGACTGAGGGGAAGAAACATGTACCTGGAATAATCAGGAAAGGATTCAAGTAAAAGGCACTACCTGAGAAGAATTTTGAGGGAAATAGGAATTTTAAGAGGTAGAGACGAGGCAGGAGGAGATGTGCAGTCTAGACATTACAAAGGTGTAGAGACAGGAAAAGGAGTGTTGTGAGTGAGGAATGAATGAGGCAATTAGGTACAACAGCAGAAAGAGCCTTGGACCTGGAGTCAGGAATACCAGAGCTCTAATTCAGCTTGAGACACTTTCAAGAAAGTCAGTTAACCATGGTCACCTCAGTTTTCTCACCTGTAAAATAGGGAGTATTAATAGCACCTACCTCACAGAGTTACTGTGAAGATAAAATAAGCCAATATTTGTAAGGTACTTTGCAAGCCTCAAAGTGCTAGAAAAAGCTGATTATAATAATTATTATGAGATAAGGAACTCTTACTATCATTGTTATTATTGTTATTATTATTATCATTATTACTTACAAGGAACACCAAGAAGGCCAGTTTGGCTGGACCACAGGCTGCAGGGGTAAACAATATTTTTCTTTCTAAACTAGACCTGGATTTTCTCAGAGTTCCTAGTGAGGACTTCCTCTGCCAGTATGGACTGGTACCTTCTCTGCCCTTCATAGTTTTAAAGAAGTGAAAAAACAATACCCTCACATTTACAAAACATCACCCATACAACATTCTTCGCCTTCTCCCAGACCCAAGAATGTCAATTCCTTTCTACTTAAGTTCTTTAGAATGTGTCACTTTTATAACTGTATGCCAATTTTATGGAAATTTTGTAGAATTCACCTAACATCGCAGGCAGAGGCCACATGCAGCCTTCTAGGTCCTTGGGTGTGGCCTTTTGACTGAGTCCAAGTTTTAAAGAACAAATTCTTTTATGAAGTTTGGATTCAGTCAAAGGGCTGCACTTGAAGGCTTAGAGGGTCACATGTGGCCTTGAGGTCACAGGTTCCCCACCCCTGCTAGACCTTTCTACCACTTTGTCAGTGCCTTTTTACCCTAGAGATGCCTCTTATCCTATGGCCCCCTGCTCTGTGTGGTGACCTCCTGCCCAGGACCACCATTTCATAAACCATGCAAGGCATCCATGCTTACTTCTCTTCCAACAAAAATGCAGGAAGAATGAAAAAAGACGTCAGCCAAGGACAGCAAAAGCAAGAGAGTGGCAGCAGAGCGACCAATGAGACTTCTTTCTAAATGTACACAAGGAGAAGGGGTAAAGACCGATATCAGGTGGAGGTAACAGTGAAGAGGTGGACAGAGGTCAATGTAGACAGAAGCCGGTGACACCCCGAAAACAGGTGAATCAGTGTTGTTTTGTGGGACTGCACTGTGCCCTGGAGAGTACATGAAAGCGGAGGGAGAAAAGGGAGATAGGAATTTGTGATGTGCCCAGGTCAAATTAAGGACTAGCAATGAGGACAAGGTAAAAAGGAGGAGAGAAAATTTAAAATGAGGGATGGAGAGGAAGGAGGACTTACTTTGGTAGTGGGAGAGGGGGTTCTACTGATAAATGCTCACATATGTGAAGAGAGATGATCTGTGAAAGAAGATGGAGACTTTACACTGTGTGTGGCCTGAGGAATTCGTTGGTTGAAGAATCTACTTGTCCTATGTCGGAGAGGGGGAACTGGAATCACTGGGGCAACTAGCAGCTGAGGGATTGGGAGGGCATGAAGCCAGGGAGGAGATGCCTGAAGTCTCTTCCCACTCCAATCTATCCTCTACTCACCTATCAAAGTGATCTTCCTATAGTACAGATCTGACCATGTCACTTCTCCTTTCATCCATTGTAGTGGCTCCCCATTACCTTCAAGACCAGAATATGTAATCGTCTTTTGCGGCTTTTAAAGCCTTTCATAACCTGGACCCTTCTTGCCTTCCTAGTCTTCTTCTACTTTACTTCCTTCCATGTACTTGCTGATCCAGTGACACTGGTCTCCTTGTTGTTTGCTGAACACGATTCTCTGTCTCCTGACTCTACATTGTCACTGGCTGTCCACCATGCCTTGAATTCTTCCCCTTCCTCAATAACTCCTGGTTTCCTTGGATTTCTTCAGGTTCCACCTAAAATCCCATCTTCTTTAAGAAGTCTTTCCTGGAGACTTGAATGAACTAATGCTGAGTGAAGTGAGCAGAACCAGGAAAACATTGTACACAGTAACAGTCACAATGTGTGATAACTAACTTCGATAGACTTATCTCTTAGCAATGCAAGGATCCAAGACAGCTCCAAAGGCTCATGATGGAAAATGCTGTTCACATCCAGAAAAAGAACTATAGAGTCTGAATGCAGATTGAAGCATATTATTCGCTCTCTCTCTCTCTCTCTTTTTTTCTCTTTTTTGTTTTTTCTTTCTTGTGGTTTCTCCCATTGGTTCTAATTCTTCTTTTCAACATAACTAATGTAAAAATAGATTCAATACGAATGAATATATAGAGCCTCCATCAAATTGCATGCCATCTTGGGGTGGAGAGAGGGCAGAGATGGGGAGAAAATTTGGAATTCAAAACTTTATGGAAGTAAATGTTGAAAATCAAAATTAAATAAATAAATAAATAAATAGATAAATAAGAAGTCTTTCCTGGTTCCCATTAATACTCTGCCTTTCTTTGTATCCCCAATGCTTAGCGTACAGCCTGCCTTATAGTGAGCACTTCAACAAATTTTTTGTTTGTTTTTTCTTTGTCAGATAGCATGACTACAATTCCCGTTTTTTAAAAATTCACTTGATGCATGATAAATTTTTTTCTATCCCCTCAGTTTTATTTTGCATATCTTAGTTTTTAAAATGTTATTCTTATAAGCAACAGATTGTAGGGTTTTGTTTTCTTCTCCAGTCTGTCATTCTTTTTGGTTTTATTGGACTGTTTAATCTCTTCACATTTAAGGTTATAAAAGTTAGGTTTATATTTCCTCCATCTGCTTCTAATATTTTTTTTTAAGTTAAGATTCCCACTCCCTCTGCTACAAACACTATAGGGTTAAAGTACTATCCTTCAATTACTTTAATCTATTTTCTTAAGATTACCTGTCATAATCTTGAAATCAATACCTTACAAATTAATCTGAAAATGCTTTCAAGATTATACCATCTCTAGCATGGATTTCTTCAATGTGCATTTTGTCTGTTTTAGCTTCCCCAAATATCATGCATACCCTGCTGATACAAGTTGCAATGCAGAGAAAGACAATCAAAATTGTATCAATACATCAATACAGAGATGCATAGAGAAGCTTCAGAAGTCTGTAGCAGCACATTACAAATGATGACTTGCAACTAAGAAATGATGCAAAAAATATCAACCAAGAAACTTATGCTCAGAAAAGGAGGTGAGCTACTAACAATAATATTACACTAGACTCCAAAGAATGTTAAAAGATCTAAAGGAACTCCTACACTGAGTTCAGGAAGTTCTCTATAGAATATACATGGGAGAACATAAAAGAGAATCCTGTAGGATGAGAAGGCATGTACAGGTTGCAACCTGGACTAGCTGAGAAAGTATTCACACTGATGAGATCAGGAATCTATGAAATACAGTGGGAAGGATGATCGATCTGGAGTCAGAACAGCTATGTTCAAAGCCAACTACGCCACTCACTGCAGGGCAAGTTGCTTAACCTCTCTGGGCCTCAGTTTGCTCCTAAGTAAATGAGAGGGTTAGAGAAGATTGGTGGCTCTCAAACTTTTCAGTCTCAAGACTTCTTTATACTATTAAAAACTAATGAGGAACCCAAAGAGCTTTTGTTTATGTGGAATGGATATATACATACTTAAGCATGCATTTGTATTGTATACACACACATATGTGGGGGGGAGGAACAGAGGGAGAGGGATAAGAAAGAGGAAGGGGAGAGAAAGATTTACAATATTAGAAATTTAAACTGATAAAATTTTAAAATATTCATTAATTCATTTAAAAATAATAAATTCATTACATATGAAAATAAATAAGTTTTTATGAAAATAACTATACTTTCCAAAACAAAAAAATTTAGTGAAAAGAGTGGCATTTTTTATATATCTTCAATGTCTGGCTTAAAAAAAGTCCATTGTATTCTTATATGTGCTTCTGCACTCAATCTATTGAATTCTGTTTTTACAGTTAAAAACCTATAAAGAAAATTTGACCTCACACAGATAAGTAGTTGGAAATGGGAAGAATATTTTAACAGACAAATAAGGTGTAATTATTATGATGAAAATAGTTTTGACTTTGCAGACTCCCTTAAAGAGTCATGGGGACCCCAAGACATCCACAGACCACACTCTGAGAACTACTAGGCTAGATAATCTTTAAAGTAATGCTCTAAATCTCCTACCAAATTGTTTTTATGATATAAATAAACCAGAAGAGCCAAAACAGAGAAAGAAAATTATACACCAATTTCCCTAATGAACACAGATGCAAAAATCTTAAATAAAATATTAGCAAGAGATTACAACAACTTATCTCGAGGATAATACACTATGACCAGATAGGATTTATACCAGGAATGCAGAGCTGGTTCAATATTAGGAAAACTATTAGCATAATTGACCATATCAACAACAAAACTAAGAGAAATCATACGATTATCTCAACAGATGCAGAAAAAGCATTTGACAAAATACAATACCCATTCCTATTAAAAACACTGGAGAGCATATGAATATCTTATTTCTTAAAATGACAGACAGTATCTATCAAAATCCATAAGCAAATATTACATGTAATGAGGATAAGCTAGAAGCATTTCCAATAAGACTGGGGGTGAAACAAGGATGTCCATTATCACAACACTGTTGTTCAATATTGTGCTGGATATGTTAGCTGAAGCAATTAGAGAAGAAAAAGAAATTGAATCAATTAGAATAGGCAAAGAAGAAACACAGCTATCACTCTTTGCAGATGATGTGATAGTATATTTAGAGAATCCTAGAAAATCAAGTAAAAAATTACTTGAAATAACAAACAAATTTAGCAAAGTTGCGGGATATAAAATAAACCCATACAAATCATTGGCATTTCTATATATTACTAATAAAACTCAACAGTAAGAGATAGAGAAATTCCATTTAAAGTTACTGTAGGCATTACAAAATATTTGGGAGTCTACTTGCCAAAACAAAACCAGGAACTATATGAACACAATTACAAAACACTTTTCACACAAATAAAGTCAGATCTAAATAACTGGAAAAATATCAGTTTCTCATGGGTAGGCTAGTTAATATTGTAATATTCTAAATCTTTGATCCTATGAAGTAATGACTTATATATAAATAAGACACTATGTTACAAGGCAGAGACAAAAAGATGAAGTCAGATAAAATACACGGCCTAAAGTAGTTTACAATCTGGGGAGTAAAAGATAATCTACATAAATCTACTAGATATCTACTAGAATGTAAAACAGGAAATAAAGGCAAAAGAAAGGTCTATTGAAGCCAAGGGAAAAGAGATAAAGTCCAATGATCAGCGAAGATTTTATAGATGGAAAAGGTTCTGAGTTGGGCATTGACTGAAAGAAAAAACTTCAAGAGAATACATGGAGCAAAGGGAAAATAATTCATGTCCATGAATGAAAAAAGATGCCAAGACAAAAGGTGGCAGAACATGACCACTACACAATGTGTAGTTCAGTTTGGCTATAACACAGTGTATGCGGAGAGGAGTACTACGAAGTTCAAAGATTAATTATTTTGGCCCTAAAGACTTAAAAGCCAACAAGCAATCTGGCTCTTTAAAATTAACTTTTTTCCTAAAAATATACTTGCCAAATGAACACAAAACTAATCAAAAGTTACTATGAGTCATTTTTCAAGTCCAAGTCAGCAGAGAGAAAGAGATAGAGAGGCCTGCAGACACTGAGGATGGGCAGGGGGTGGTGTTGATCCATCCCCAGGAGCCCTGCGTGGAGCACTCCAGCTCCCAGAGAGAGGCTGTGCACAAGGGCAAGAGAAAGTTACAGACCCACAAGGGGCACTATGACAAGAACTGCTTTTATCTGGCAGCTTTTCACCTACTAAGCAGGTTCAAGGTCACAGATGTAGGGAAGACAGAAACTGAGCCCGAGGATGGCATTCCAGGATGAAAGCAGTCCCCAGGCCCCAGGATCTATACTTAGAGAAGAGCCAGTTCAAAAGCAAGCAGACCCAGAATGGGTTCTCAGAATCAGCTTCCAGTCTTCCTTCACATGAAATTCACTAACAATGAAGATCATTTGGGGATCACAAACGTATATGGCACATTGTCCTGTGCAAAATCACTTCGTAGGGCTTCTTAAGAATTAAAATGCTTAAAAACAAAAAACAAACAAAAAAAAAACAGAGAAAGTCTCTCCTTACCTTTTCCAAATCTCCAATTAGTAAATTAATTCTGACTTCTAGTCTGACATCTGTAGTCCAGAAATCCAAAGGGGATGGCATCAGAACACAAAATTTAAGATCAGGCCTAAATTCTAGGAGGCAGACATGGCCAACAGTGTAGTAAGTAGCCAATTAACTAAAATCAGAGGACCACCAGAGAAGATAGGGTGCTCCAAGCAACAACCTCTCTCAACTATTTAAATAATCAGTAAATCATTCAATGTGTATTTATTAAGCAGCTATAATCTGCAGCATTCTGCTATGAGCCGAAGATACATAGACAAAAGGGGATGGAAGAAATATACACTTAAGTGTCTATTATATGTCAGGCAAAGTGTTTTACAAATATTATCTAATATGATCCTAGACAAAGACAAAAATGAAACAATCCTTGCTCATATGACCTTTACAGTCTATTGGAGGAGAAAACATGAACATATATAAGTGTTTATAGAATTAAAATATATAGATAAATACAAAGAGTTTGAGGGGTAGAAGGATCAAGAAAAGCTTCACGTAGAAGGTGATACTTAAGCTGAATACTGAAGTAATAAAGGGATTATATGAGGGGAGATGAAGAGGGTGTGTCTTCAAGCAGGGGAAATGATAACTAGAATGTGTGTGTGTGTGTGTGTGTGTGTGTGTATGAGTCAAAAGATATTCAAAGATTTGGAGTATGAACGATTAGAGAATACAGTGGCACCACTGACAAAGATAGTAAAGGTAGAAAGAAGACCTCGTTTAAAGAGGAAGATCAATTTGGCTTTGAGTTTGACAAGTTTGAGGTGAGAGTGAGAGACCCAAGCAAAAATGTATACCAGGGATCTGCAGATACAAAACAAAATGATTTACACAACAGAAAGCTAAAAAAATCTAAGACAAGTTCTTCAATACTGAAACACACCATCGTCCATGCATCAGGTACTTGTGGCTTATGCTCTGTCTCAAAATTTCCTTATGGAAGAGCTGACAGGAAAGGAAAACAACCAGTGTTGACACAGCCTCTAGCGATATTCCATACGTTATATCTCTGTGGAGAGAAGAGATAAAAGAATATTTATCATTTTGAAGGATTAAGCTCTATTTCAGATTTCTAAAATGAACTGTACATAACAAAAACTGAAAGAAATAACAATGTCAAATTTAAAATGTTTTCCTAGGGGATGTCTGAAAATCAACAAAGAAAAAAGGCAAAAATCTTTTCCAGATTTTAACTTTTACATGCGTATCAATTATCTCATCATTTCATTACTTCACAGGTTAAAAATTCCCTTATCTATAGTTATTAGTAATATTTTGCTTTGAGAATTCATTCTAGTATTTCTAGAAAGTCTGCCCTCTATTTTACTTTTGCTACTTTAAACCCAAAAATAAATAGAACTCAAAAGTCAAAAAATTTTATAGAAAAAACAATGTTTTTAACATGATAATTACTTAAATAAATCCACTTCTCAACACCTCTGACATCCACGTTATCAACCAACTCTGAATGACAAAATACTTCAATGTCCTCATTCCCTGGGTACATGTTACAAAAACTACCCTGGATTGGAAGCTACTTTACTGTGTCTCCCAATCATTAAGGCTTTGATGAAACTGTTCAAGAAATTAGTTACAGTATTTTCTGTCCAAGTTTCACCTCCAGAATCAAATAAAAATCTATTTTGGCATTCAAAACCCTTCATAACCTGCCCCTCCCCAACCTTTCCAATAGGAACTTCTTTTCAATCAAATAATAAATATATATATTAAACACCCTACTATGTGCCAGCAAAAGACAATCCCTGCCCTCAGGAGTTCACAGTCTAATGAGAGAGACAAGGAAACAAATCTATATAAAGCAAGTATGTATACAGATATATATGTGTGTGTGTGTATATATACACACACATACATACACACACACACACATATATATATAAAATAGGAAATAATTAATGGAAGGAACACATTGGAAATAAGAGTAGTTCAGAGGACTTCCTGTAGAAGGCAGACTTTTAGTAGAAGCTTAAAGGAATCCAGGAAGGTCAATGATCAGAGCAGAGGAGGGAGACAATGCCAGGCAAGGGGGACACCCAGAGAAAAGCCAAGAGATGAAGTGTCTTGTTCACGGAACAGTCAGGAGGCCAGTGTCACTGAATCAATGAATATGTTGGGGAGTAAAGTATAAGAAGACTGGAATGGTTAAGAGGGAGCTAGTTTATGAAGGGCTATGAATGCCAAACAGAGCATCTTGTATTTGCTCCTGGAGGCAATAGGAAGCCAATGAATTTATTGGGTAGAGAAGGAAAGGGTGACATGGTCAGATTTGTGCTTTAGAAAAAATGTTTTAATGGTTGAATTAGAGTGGGGAAAGACTTGAGGCACCACCAGAATATTGCAATAATCCAGGGGTGAAATAATAAGGGTCTGCCCCAGAGAGGTAGCAGTGTTAGAGGATAGACAGGGGCATACTGGAGAACTGTTGCAAAGGTGAAAATAATAGGCTATAGTAACAGTTGTCCAAGTATGAACTTGGACAAATTTCAAGAGACAGTGGAGGATAGAAGGGCCTGGTATGGCACAGGGTCCAGAAGAGTCGGACACAACTGAACGATGATCAACAATGCAAACCCTGGATAGAAGGAGTGAGAGATAATGAGGAATCCAGGATGACTCTTAGGTTATGAGTCTGAGAGACTGGAAGATAGTGTTGCCCTCTATCATAAAAGGAAAGGTAGGAGGGAAGGAAGGAGGATTTAGAAAGGAAAATTAGCTCATTTTTGGACATACTGAATTCAAGATCTACTGGAATCCAGCTTGGAATATCTAAAAGGCAGTTGGAGCTGTGAGATTGGAGGTCAGCAGAGGGATTGGGACAGGAGAGGCAGATTTGAAATTCATCAGCATAGAGGTGATAATTAAATCCACAGGAGCTTACGAGATCACCGAGTAAAGTAGTACAGAGGGAAAAGAGGGGGCAGAAAGAACCTTTCAGTATACCTATGTTAGAAGGCATGATCTAGAGGAAGATCCAGCAAAGGAGACAGAGAAGGAGCAGTCAGACAGGTAGAAGGAGAACCAGGGAGAGTACTGCTCTGAAAACCTAGAGAGAAGACGGTGTCAAGGAGGAGACAGTGATCAACAATGTCAAAGGACGCAAAGAGACCACGGAGAATTAGAACTGAGAAAATGCCATTGGGTTTGGCAACTAAAAGATTGTTAGCAATTTTGGAGAGAGCAGTTTCAGTGGAATGATAAGGTCAAAAGCCAGATTGTAAAGGGTTAAGCAGAAAGTGGAGGCACCTATTGTAGACAGCCTTTTGGAGAAGCTTAGCTACAAAGAACAGAGGAGAAATAGGATAAGAGTTAGTGGGGATGGAAAGATCAAGTGAAAGATTTTTAAGATGAAAGAAACATAGGCATGTTTGTAGGCACAAATAGGATGGAATGGGATCTCCTGAACAGGTAGAGGGGTTGGCCTTGATAAGGAGAAAGGTCATTTCACCATGTAAAACAGGGATGAAGGAGGAGAGAGTGGCAGAAAGCATCTGAGTGATAAGAGATGAGGAAGTGGGGAGAAGAGGAATTTCATATTGAATGGTTTTGATTTTTTCTGTAAAATATTAGGTGTGGTTCTCAGTTCAAAGAATGGAGGAGAATGAGCTAGGTGCGGTCTGAGGACAGATGAAAAGCTTTAGAAGAGCCACTGTGGAGAATGAAAGGTATAGTAAGATTGCCTAGCAACAGTTGGGATCCAATTGAGGCTATATGATATAAATTTATAGCGGACTCAGAACGTTTCTGTGATTTTCTCTATCTTCATTCAGCATCTCCTGTGTAGGTGATAAATGCTGGGCTGAGGCTCATATGAAAAGAAGGATAGGGATTCAAAAGAGAGGACAGTGTACACCTGAATTGGTTTACTAAGGAGTCAAAATGGGGAGAAGTGAAAAGAATGATTAGTTCAGGAGAGACATCCAGGGAGAGAATGGGGGGATCAAGGGATTGAAAGTCACAATATGGATGAAGAGTAGGATTATTACATAAGAGGAGGCAGAGGGAGAAGTGAAAAGCCAAAGATTATGGTCAGATAAGGGAATTTCAGAATTCTGGAAGACAAAAGTGGTACATTTGTGGGTAATAGTAAGATCAGGGTTATAACTTTATATGTGGGCTGGGTTGAGGTAGAAGAGTGGGTCACGAGAGAAAAGTAAGTTGAGGAAGTCAGTGGTTTGGGTATTTGAAGGAGAGTCCGCTGGTATAAGGGTATGAGTTGGGGAGGAGAGAAAAATTGCAAGCCAGGTATCAAACTCATTGAGGAGAGAAGGAGAGTGACCTAAGGGTCACTAAGACAACAGCTACCAAGATTTTGCAGGGTGGTAGATATGAATAGCATGAACACCAAAAAAGAGAGACTACTGAATGACAGAGAAAGGGGGAGAACCTGGAAGCGGCAATGAGAAACAAGTAGTAATACAACTCCCCTGCCTCAATTATTGAGCCAAGGAGGAGTAAAGGTCACAGCCAGCACGGGAAAGGGTGATCAGAGGGAAGCCGTGTTTCAGTAATAGCTAGTAGATGGAAGTAACGGGAGAAGAAAAGATTTAAGATGAAGGGAAATTCGTTGCTCATAGAACAGGTATTCAGAGGGGACAGTGGAAAGGCTGGGTGGAGTTTGGATGAAACTTTAAGGTGAGATGGTTGAGACATATGGGAATGTGGGATCAAGTGACAGGGGCTAAAGAATGGGGATTGGATGATGATCTACAAGAGTTCTCAGTCACTGGGTTATGGAGAATATGACCAGGTGTGAGAATGTTCATCTCTGAGTGGAGGACACCATTCCTCTAGTCTCTAAGGAAAAGTGTAGCAAGAGATGGGAAGACGAAAGGCAAAGGTGGCGTTGCTCTTCTCTGCACTAGAGGTTCTCCACATCCCAGATGGGAGGTTGGCTGGCAGTAGGGGAAGGAAGATGTCCTGTACTAGAAAATGGAAGTGGTTGCTTTGGGGCAGATGGAAAATGTCCAGTCCTTCCCTCAGGGACATGCTGAGCCCAGAAGGAGATGAAAGGCTCAAGGTGCAAGCATGCACATGGTCCGAGGTATTCCTGCCTTTTCCCTTACAGTCCTCCACCCCTAACCCTCACCCCCAAGTACACTTCAATCTGTTGACACTGGTCTACCTTTTCCTAGAACAAGACATTCCATCTCCCAATTCCAGGCATTTTCACTAGATGGAATGTATGGAATGCTCTTCCTCTTCATTTCTGCCTCCTGGCTTCCCTGGCATTGTTCAAGTCTCAACTAAAATCTCTCCTGCTACAGAAAGACTTTCCCTAGCTCCCTTAATTCTAGTGTCTTCCCTCCATTGATTATTTCCAATCTATCTTGCACTCTGCTATTTTACACATCTACTTGCATGTTGTCTCCCCCATTACATTGTGAGCTTTTTGAGAGCAAGAACTATCTTTTGCCTTTCCTTGTATCCTTAGCACTTAGCACAGTACCTGTGCTCACACCAAATTTGTACTGTCACAAAATGTTTACTGACTGACTGATTTATATAAGAAACAGACATGGCTAATCTGCTGAAGACCTTCAACTTAATCTGGAGCATGAAGCCACACAAATGTCACTATACATCCTCTAGTTTAAATGGCGTCAAACTCAAATGGAATCAGCACCCTGCTGGCCACCTGAGGACTTACAAAACCACAAATAAACATTATCTCTGTTGCACTGTGTTTTTAATTTACTTTGTTAAATATTTCCCAATTACATTTTAATCAGGACACCTCTGTTCAAGCAACATATCCTATTATCAACATTCCTTTACCCAAAAAGCTCTTTCAATTAGTCCTTCCAATGGACATAAATCTTATCTTTATCCATTATTGTAATCTTAATGAAAGTGCTAAGTTTTCTACTCTGAGAAATTAAATGTTCCCTCAAGAAGTGAAATTTTAATTTATAGCTATTCATATTGTTATTTAACCTCTAACAGTATTCTGATGTTTAAACTAAATTTTCAGAAAGTTTCTTAAAATAG